CTTATAAAGGTAACAATGACTATTTCTTGCAAAGTTAATTGGAATGAGTTTAATGACAAGATCACATAGTTATTTGTTTATTAATTTCATATGCTGCCCAATTCATGATCAAAGGTCATTCCGGGCAGCTTATAGTTATATTGTAGTTAATTAATTAATTATATTAATAATTAATTATAATATAAAAGTTGACCTCAACATGATAAATATGAAGGTATTCTACAAGATTCCTGAGGTTATCCAGAATTTTGAACAGGCTGATTATTTGGGCCTCACTGGAGGGGCAAACATTAGAATATGGGTGAGATTGTTGGGCACATACAGTACATGTGGATGCTTATGAATACAAGATAGTTGTTAATTGAGCAAAAAGTTGTTTCTGTGTTTTGCATGCAGCTCATTGTAAAAAGTGTCCAGATGACCATCATGTCAGAATATTCATGAACTGGGATAGACAGAGCAACAGGTCAGCCATTGGGGACTGGCTGGAATAGGACATGATAACAAGGTCAGCCGATGTATAGATATAACAAATAAGTCAGCCAATGAGGGCTGTTTGGGAGCTGAGACTGGAAGGAGCCTGGGCGGGGCTCTGAGCTCTGAAGCTGCAAACAAGTCTAGTCTAGTCTGCAACTCTGAATGAAAACTGAAACTCTTCTCTCTCCTATTTATGTTTTGCTTGTAAGTACTACCATGTTGGAAGAACCTACATCGGTACTGTACATTTAATTATGTGTTATATGTATATAAAGAAGTTAATGAATCCTACTGAATCAGTTATCTGTGTGTGCTTTCTGGAAGTAATTTTCTGCAACAAATTCTAACACATCATTCCAGTGAAAACTGAGATCAGTGTGATCCAAAAACTATAAAGTTTTGTCTTATGAAGAAACTTTAGATTTCATCCTGGATATTTCTACCTTGATTTTTGTCCCTAACTACTGGCTTTATTCTACACATTTTCATTAAATACCAAGAAAGTTCCATAGTCAAAGCCAACAACTGGAATTTTATATATATTTACAGGGTCTCTCTATTGCTTTCCTTCTTGCCTTTCCTTCTATTCGTTGGTCAGCCAAATATGTATGGGCATTCCTAAAAATGGGAATCAGATTTTTACAGTGATTAATAATCAGTCAAACTTTTCATAAAGCAGGCATTATGATAATGAATAACTCTTTAGTCTTCTAGTCATATCACACTACAAAATTGCAGAATGCCCTAAGTTGTTTGTGTTTTTCAGATGCAGCCCACTGCAAAAAATGTCCAGATGATCAGCATTCTAATAAGAAACAAGATCACTGTGTCCCCAAAGTTATAACTTTCCTATCCTATGAAGAAACACTTGGTCTCCTCCTGAGTCTCTTTGCCACTACCTTATCCATAATCACTGCTTTTATTCTGGGAATCTTCATTAAATACCGAGAAACTCCCATTGTCAAAGCCAATAACCGAGACCTCACCTACATACTCTTGATTGTCCTCTTGCTTTCCTTTTTGACCTCCCTTCTATTCATTGGTCGACCTAAAAAAGTGACCTGCCTTCTTCGACAAATCACTTTCAGCATAGTTTTCTCAATTGCCGTGTCTTCATTGCTGGCTAAGACTGTCATGGTGGTGGTAGCATTTGTGGCTACAAAGCCAGGCAGCAGAATGAGAAAATGGCTGGGGAAAACTCTGGCCAACACTATTATCTTCTCCTGCTCTGGTGTTCAGGTATGCATCTGTCTGTTATGGCTGGGAATCTCTCCTCCATTCCCTGATTCTGACCTATATTCCCAACCAGGACAGATCCTGCTGCAATGCAATGAAGGTTCGGTCATCATGTTCTACATTGCCCTAGGCTACATGGGCTTTCTGGCTGCTATTTGCTTCTTGGTGGCTTTCCTAGCTCGAAAGCTGCCTGCAACCTTTAATGAAGCCAAGATGATCACTTTCAGCATGTTGGTTTTCTGCAGTGTTTGGATCTCTTTTGTCCCCACTTACCTGAGCACCAAAGGGAAATACATGGTGGCTGTGCAGATCTTCTCCATCCTGGCCTCCAGCCTGGGCTTATTGGGCTGCATCTTTATCCCCAAATGCTACATCATTATCCTGAGACCGGATATGAATGTGAAGGAGCATCTGATGATGAAAAACTAGGAGGGCTCCTGATTTTGTTCTTATTTTTGTTTGGATTTTTTAAAACAATGTACTGGTAATATAAAACAAGATGGCATAGAAGTAATAAAAAACATGTTTATGGTTTTTTTAACAACTGTTTCTCCAGTGTGAGCTTTTAATATGTGTCAAATGGAAGTGATATATTAAGAGGACAATTTTCTTTTAAATCATTAATTTATTTTATTATAGTTTTGTTTCCTGAATCACAAATAATCACTAATAGTAATATATTTTCTGAAACATATTTCAGAATTATAAAACAGTTTTGCTCAACCTAATTTTTAGATGAGATGACAATCTATTGCTAATGATGATCTGGTTTTGGTATCTTTTTATTTCATATAGTTTTTTGAATAGCTGTAGTTGCACAATTATAACATTTAGTTATTTGTTTCTGGATCTTTTTACAATTTATTTAACCCCCCCCCTCTTTTTTCTGGAGATGATCTAGATTGCTTTGAATACAATATGTGTTGCTGTGAATACATTAATCTCAATACTTTATATTTTGAATTAAAGATAATAGGAAGAGCTGTCTTTTACATAATGATTAGTTCATTTTAAGAATGAAGCTCTGTAGTAACAATAAAAGATATCTTTAACAGCCAAATCTCAATAAACTTGATTTACTGTGGCATACAAGTCAACTGTCCCAACTTGGTCAACTAGGAAAAAAAGAGTCTTGTCCCATAATTAGCCAAAAGTATACAGAAGAGACAAAGCTGGATCAGGGATTTTCATGAGGAAAGGATACAGCTAACTTTCCCTTGTCCTCAGCCAGCCCCCTGGTTATCAGTCACTGTACAATTAGGTATTAACAAATTGTTTAGGAAACGGTCCCTGTCTTCACATGCTCACCAGCTCTGCATTCTTTTGGTGTATGACTTTGAGATGGTTGGTGCTTCTCATGGGACAGTTCAGCTTAGATTCTATGCCTCTTGGTTTCCTCCCTCCATTCCCACCTCCACTGTCCCCTCCCCTCCCCGTTTCTCATGTCAGGCTATCAGCTTGCACTGTGTTGCTTAGCAGAACGGCAGCCATGACAATAAGCTTGGCTTCAGAGCCAATTTGGTATAATGGTATAATGGTAAATGGTACCACGCTAGAAACCAAGAAACTTGATTTCTACTCCTGCCTTGGGCCGAAACCAACTGGGTGACTTTGGACCAGTCCTAGTAAGATGGCATTGGCAAACTACTTCCAGTCTTCCAAAGAAAATCCTGACAGAAAGTCAACAAAAAGCAAATCCCAAGCCTTCCCCTGAACCCAAACGACAAAGTTCAGTTATTTTCAATACTTCTTTTGAAAACATATATTCAGATTAATTTCTAGGTAAATTAAGTTCAAATCTTGGATTAAGGGAAACAATTTAATTCCCACAGAGCTAAATGTTATCCATTTGAAAAAAAGTTTCAGGGATTATCCGTGATGCTTTATATACATGAATTACAAGAGATTCTGCTTGGGGAGGAATTAAGCTATTTTCTCTGGCTGCATATCTTTTATTTGCATCATTGAGTTCTTGAATTTTCTTGAGTGCAACCCAAGATTGTAGAGTAGTGGAAAGGATTTCCTGTTTGTGAGACTTCTAAAATCCAGGTATTATTTCACTAGCTCAGCCTAAAAGGACAAGTGAACAGAGGATGGGCAGAGTAGAGGGAAGGAAGTTAATAAGTGAAGTATAAGGAAGGGAGTAGAAGGAAGGGAATTAATAAGGGTGGTGTATAAAGATGGAATGTGGCAATAGAAAGGAAGAAGAATGGGGAAAAAAGAAAGGAAGAAATCCAGAATGACCAATATGATCAAAAAGAAGATTTCAGCAACATTTGGCAACTCAGCCAGTACAGATAACAGATAATCAGAGTTGAAAGGGACCTTGTAGGTCATCTAGTCCAAGCGGGAGACCCTACACCATTTCTGGCAAATGGCAGTCCAATCTCTTTTTGAAAGTCTGAACTGATGGCGCTCCCACAACTTCCAAGGGCAAGCTGTTCCATTGGTTGATTGTTCCCACTGTCAGAAAGTTTCTCCTTATTTCCAGGTTAAATCTCTCCTTGTTCAGTTTCCAGCCATTATTCCTTGTCTGGCCTACAGGCGCTTTAGAAAATAGCTTGACCCCTTCCTCTCTGTGGTAGCCCCTCCAATATTGGAAGACCTCTATCATGTCTCCCCTGGTCCTTCTCTTTACTAGACCTGACATGGCTAAGGAACATTCCAATCAGTTGGAGCCTGTCAGATAAGGGGATCTGGATTCAGAATCCCAGCTGTAAAGTACAGGTGTAGAGTGGAGTACAGAGTGGCACCAAGGAAGATGTGCCTATTAGCCATCTGTGACCTACTTGCCAATGTGAACAAAAAAGATAAGAAATTAGTGGAGAAAAAAAAGAAGATGAGAGGAAAATTATGTGTTACAGTTCCAGTGGGAGTTGTCTTCCTGCAACCCTGTCACCTATCCTTCAGCCAAATATATATTGGAAACTGATAAAAAAATTAAATTTCAGAAGAAATTTCAAGCAAATAAGATGTAATCTCAAAATATAATAACAGAAACACTCATCATAATTAGCCATAGCTGTTGACTTCCTCTAAAACTACATCATGCAGAGCATCTCTGATAAAAGTTTACCTGGCTTCATTTCAGTTAACATGAATTTCAATAGCAAAACAATATAAGAACTTGAAAGCAGTTGAGTTGTTTCAACAACTTTATTAATCAATTATCATCATTCAAAATTCACATGGAATGAAGAAAGATAAGCTACAACTCATAAAAATAATTACTTCCAAGATACATTATTTTATACTGCCTGTAAGTTGTAATAAAAAAAGCACCGATATCAGGAGCCCTCATTGTTTTTCATCATCATATGCTCCTTGGTGTTCATAGAAGGTCTCAGAATAATAATATAGCATTTGGGGACAAAGATGCAGCCCAGTAAACCCAGGCTGGAGGCCAGGATGGAGAAGATCTGCACGGCCACCATGTATTTCCCTTTGGTGCTCAGATAAGTAGGGACAAAGGAGATCCAAACACTGCAGAAAACCAACATGCTGAAGGTGATCAACTTGGCTTCATTGAATGTCCCTGGAAGCTTGCGGGCCAGAAAAGCCACCAAGAAGCAGATGGCAGCCAGAAAGCCCATGTAGCCAAGGGCAGTGTAGAACATGGTAACTGAGCCTTCATTACATTGTATCAAGATATGTCTTGGTTGGGAATGAAAGTCAGAATCTGGAAATGGGGGGAAAATTCCCAGCCATATGATACAGATGCATACCTGAACACCAGAGCACAATAAAACAATGGAGTTTGCTAGACTCTTCCGAAGCCACTTCCTCATCTTACTGCCTGGCTTTGTGGCAAGGAACGCTACCACCACCATGACAGTCTTTGCCAGCAAGGAAGACACAGCGACAGAAAAGACAACACTGAAAATGGTTTGTCGAACAAAACAGGTCACTTTCTTGGGGTGACCAATAAATAGAAGAGAGGCCAAAAAGGAAAGGAGGAGGGACACCAGGAGAGTATAGGTGAGGTCCCGGTTGTTAGCTCTGACTATGGGAGTTTCTCGGTGTTTAATGAAGATTCCCAGGACAAAGATAGTGATGAGGGACAAAACAAGAGCAAAGAAAGCCAAGATGAGACCCAACATTTCTTCATAAGACAAAAAGCTTACACTTTTTCGGACACATTGATTTCTCTGTTCATTGGAATACTGGTCATCTGGACACTTGCTGCAATGGGCTGCATCTGAAAAACATTGGCATCTGTTTCTGCCACTGTACAATCATGAAAATTATTACTAAATACATAAAATATGTTTTTAAATATGCTGCAGTGAGAGAGGATATGGAAGAAGGTTGAGAACATATTAGAAAATACTTTCCCAATGTATTTAGTTATTTCTTCACACCATGTTGGATGGTGTGAAAACATATTCATGAAAGATAAATGAACAAGTAATACTGAAGAAATGGTATGGAGCATAGGTCTGAATATCACCTGAAATGTAAAAGTGTTGTGCGATGTTGTGTTTTGAATTCTACAAGAGGCATCAGATGGGCAGAAATCTGAACTTTGGCTTTAAATTGCTTAATTACTATTGGGATGTTCTTGTGTTGTTGCCTTCCATATATTAGAATGGAAGGGGGTGCTTTTGGGGTACTTATATCAAATTTACTACCTGGATAGTTTCAACAATAGCAATAGCACTTAGACCTTACATGGTGCTGTACAGCACTCTCTGGACAGGTTACATTGTCAGTATATTGCCCCCAACAGTCTGGGTCCCCATTTTACTGTCCTCCGAAGTATGGTCTCAACGCCCTTAGGACCAGAACAATAGTTACTTACAAGTCACACTCCACACCAGATGTAGTGATGAAGGTTTATTGTCAATGGTGGCTACGGTCAGACAACAGGCTTGAAATGGGGCAAGTAGAAACAATGCCCTCACAAAAACAGCCTTCAAGAGTAACAATTCCTCTCCCCCTTCATACACACTCATGTCATTATCACATCATTAACCCCATATCCTCTCACCACCCATCTTCCGGATGCTCCCTGGTAGGTGCTGATGCAATCTTAGCCAGCAGTATCTCAGCTCCAATCAGACTGTTGCCAGTGCTGCACATCATTATGTCAGCCCCTCCCTTTCCTATGGTGAGCCCCTGAAGCTCTAACAGTGATTATAGTCCTACAGGCGCCGTCATTGCAGCCCCAGAGACAATCTTCCTGTCTTCCTCTCCATCCTTAAAGGGCTTGACAAAGCCATGAGCACCTGCCACTGTAGCATCCATCCAGGTCATCGCTGTGCACCACATCATCACCAACAGCCTCCAGGGCCTTCCACCACCACCTGCAGACCTCTACCATGCAGCCAGCCCCTTGGAAGATGCCACCATGGTCAGCAGGGCAGCATTCAGTGCTGGATGAGGAGGGGTGTCTGGAGCTGCTGATCAACTGTGCTACCGAGGGGTAAGGGGCTTGTCAGATGGAAGACTGAGTCAACCTTAAGCCCTGACAGGATCAAACTCCTTGTCTCTGGGTAGAGTTAGCTTGCAATACTGCATTCTAACCAGTGCGCCACTAGGGGATTCTATTTTACAAGTGGAAAAAATGTTTGGAAGTGTGGGCTGAAATGGTATTCATTGAAATCATTCATTAATTTAAGTAAAATTAAGATTTGTATTCTCTCCTTTTTTCATTAGGGAGTGTAGCTGTTAGCACATTAAGTCTGGCCTGTGGCTGGAAAAACAACCCATGTTGGAGTTCATTTGCCCACCAGAGAGATGAACAGAGATATGCAAAGCACCCAACTTTAATTTGAAATAATCATCATTTGCTTTAAAGCAGTGATGTTATTCACCAGGTTCTGACCAGATCTTGAGAACCGGTAGTGGAAATTTTGAGTAGTTCGAAGAACTGGCAAATACCACTTCTGACTGGCTCTCTCCCCATGTATTCTATGCCTCCCGAGTCCCAACTGATAGGCTTTGTTGCCCTGCACAGGAGAACAGAGCTGGAAAGCAGGTTAGTGGGGTGCGGACGGGATGGGGTAACCTTCCCCCAGGAGTGGGGTGGGAATGGAGATTTTACAGTGTTCTTCCCCTGCCATGCCCACCAAGTCACACCCACCAAGCCATGCCCCGCCCACCAAGTCCTGCCCACAGAACCGGTAGTACATTGTTTTGAATCCCACCACTGCTTTAAAGGCTGAAGAAAAATGTGATTATCAGCATTCATAAGACTTATCTGAACTGAATTGAAACCAGCAAGAAGACAACAAGTTGAGAGATTGCAGCAACCTTTCATTATTTATTTTAATGTCCCCATCATCAGGCAACATTTGGCAATAGTACCAAATCCTTGAAAAGTTTGTGAACTTTTTCTTACTTTGTGTAATTGTAAAAGAAACTATGCTAGTCATTAGGTCTGTAACTAGCAGGAAAGAAAACATTTTTAGAAATGTCTGTGGAGATTCTTAATAATTCAGGTTATGATTGTCCCAAAAGTACTTTTTCAAAAGGTAACTGTTGGGCACTAGGAATTTACTCACATCTGGCACTCACTCGGAGCCTGACACATTGCTGGGGCTGTGGGACTGATGGATGTGTGAACAACTGTCATTTATGCTGAACTGTTGAGATGGGAGACAAGAGGCATGGGAGCCGCCTGGAACTGTGTTCGATGTAATACCATGGACGTTAGCCTGGCTAGACAGCTGGAAGGCACATGGACGCTAATCAGTCATCAGGCTTATTTCCGGACTGCGCATTGATATAAACCACAATGTGTGGGGCTTTGGAGGTATCATTTGGTGGGGGTTTATGATCCTGATTCAGATAGATGTCAGGGGAATGGGAGGTAAGTAAGGATACAGAAGGGATAGATAGGACAGGGAGCATGGAGAAAGGAATATAAATAAAGATTAAGCAGTGACAAAAAGGCATGAGGAGGAGGCACGGGAGTAGATAATGCAGCAGTGGATTTCAGGTTGTTAGTTGGGAGGCACTAGAGCACAGTATAAAAGGCACTGAGAGGCAGACGCTCCCAGAGCTGACTTTAATTGGGAAATACCATTTTTTGCTTATCAGGACTGGAACTGCTGTAATAAACTTCACCATACCAATTGTGAGTACAGTGATTTATTAGCGAGATACTCCAGTACCCATTTGGAGCTGAAAGTAGCTGGACTTTGTTTTTCCTTGAGGATGTTTCACTTCTCATTCAAGAAGCTTTTTCTTGCATCAGAGCTGAAGAAGCTTCTTGGATGAGAAGTGAAACATCCTCAAGGAAAAACAAACTCCACTTACCTTTTGAAAAAATACTTTTGGGGCATGTTTAGAAATGTTTCCCAGAAAACCAGGAATGAATTTTGATTGCATTCTCAATGCTTTTTCTCTCCAAAACCACTTACCTTGTTGCACAGAAAATGTTCCCTCCATACAGAGAGAACAGTCATAGCAGCAAACTGGGGCATCCTTTCTAATGAGTTTGGCATGTCCCGGGTAACAACTTTCTGTACATCTAGAAGAAGGTGCCATCTAAACATAAAAAATAAAAATCAACCAGGGTAACATATACAAATATTTTTTATCAATTGGTTTCTGGAAGACAAAGAGCACACTGAATCAACTCAACCAAGGAGTAGTAGCATAGCAAACCCTCAACTTTCAATTTCTCACCACTGGAGGTACCATCTAACATTGACCTTTATGGGAATGGACTCTGCACACCAGCAACAGATGAAAGAGATATATTTCTCTATCACATCTATTGTCAATCCAGAAACATTTTATTTCCATTATTCCCCATTCTAAAAGAAAGTGGTTCCATTGCAAAATGGGGTTCCTCTTTAGGGCAAGTGTGGCAATGCTACATTTTGTAGTTTTCTTTCCATCTTTGCTTTGGCAGGAAACCTCCAAAATGTGGCTTTCTTTGTCAATGTGACAAATGTTTCTCTCCTACAATGGAACATTGCATCAAGAAAATGTCTTTTTTTTAACTACCCCAATTTCCTTCATTACATTATTAACTTGATAGCTTCCTCTCATGTAATGCAGGGTGATATCCCCTTGAAACTTTGGCTTTTCTCTTCTGAAAATAAGATTATTCAAAAGATTATTGATTAGGATACCATATTCCCATTCAATAATGTAGACTGTAAAGACCTAATCCAATTGTTGTCAGCCCCATCCATCTTGAATCAGATTTGGGGCTGCTACAAGGGAGGATGGGTAGCCATGGGAATGAAAATAAAGTGAGAAGGGAGGATAGCCTCAACAACATTCTTTAGCCAGAGCTCAAGGCCAAGTCACTGGAGTCTGGAGGGGAGTGACTGGCAGGAGTTTAGAATGGAAGTGGATTGGAGAGTGTGCCTTGAGGGTCATCAGAAAAGGGGGGCTGGGTGTGAGTTTAATATAGCAGGAGAAAACACTGGAATTCAGATTCGGGTTTTCCCAGATGTGCCAATATGACTTTTCGAATAAATTCTTACTTGGATGGACTTTGACTCTTGAGTGCTGAACTGAGATGGAGAGTTTGGTTGGAACACTGACAATTGTTGGTATAGCAGATTCCAGGTTGTGATAAATTACTGAACGCTCTAAAGAACCATGGTATCCAATGAATTAATGGGGTCTTATGTTTCCTTATTTGAAAGTTATCAATCCTCAATGAGAATTATTTAAGAACAGAAAAGTTTGCATGCAGAGAGATAACAGGAAAACCCAAAATCAAGCAGCATCAGCTACCTTGTTAAATGACGTTGGCCATATAATGGCATTCTGATTGTTGGAGACCTTGACTTCAGATGAGGTTTCTCTTTCTACACTCCCAAGTTTCACACCAACCACCGACGCATTGGGAAACATTCTCCAGTGCATGATATCAAAGTCAGCCATAGGAAGTCCATTTTCATCCAAATAAACTGCATCTCTAGAAATATTGAAAAGCTGGAAGTATCTTAGCTTCTGTTGAAGCTGCAAAGACATAGAAAAAAAATACCTGGGCAGGTTACATATTCCCCTTTGAGCCGTTATTCAATGTTTTCTGGTGATTACTCTGGATTGGAAGTTCTCTGAATTCAATCTCTTTAGAGCAGCACTTTGACCTGCAGGAGGTTGATTCAGGAATTTATGGGAAGCTTCTCTCCCTCTTTCTTCAGTTATCCTACCAAATTATAGCTTAGCATCAGAATTTTAACAAAAAATAAAAATGCATAGAGCTGAAATTGAAACTATATCATATTAAATCCAAGTGTTTTCCTGTGATACTGTGTGAGACTTTTAAAATTTGTTCTACTTTGATTTTTTAATAAAATCTTGTGTGTTTGTGTGTATATGTGTGTATACACACACAAACATGGACACATACATATAGACTCTGAAATAATAACTTTTCCCCAACTTTCAGGGGTCTTGTCCTGGAACCAAACCCAACTCTCCTTTCCTTAGCTGATTGCAAGCCTCCCATTTCAGTTCTCCCCCGGTCTTCAGATGGCATAGCTAGCAACAGCAGCTGGATGTGAAAGATGAAGAGCAAAAAATTGCATGGAAGTGTGGAGATAGTGGGAGAAACAAGAAAGCTTGTCATGGTATCCAGGAGAAATGACACAAAGACCTGATGGATATCCATGTGAGTTGTGAAAAAGCTGAGCTAGAGAGCACCAAATGGGAGCCTTCCTGAAGCCCAAAATCTTGCTAAGCAGAAAGGAAATAGTACTGTTAATAATTAGAAATAGTGGTGTACTAGAAGTCTTCTTTCTCTCTCCATCCCCCTGGAAGCAACACAAAAGGTCTAGAAGATGAAAGCCCAACCAGGAACAAAGAAGGACCCCAAAGACCCACCTTTAAGCCATTGTAGGAAAAGTGGAGTCTTTGATGGAGCAGAAGACAGGAGAAATTCCAAAGAGATAAGAGAGTGAATGCAGTTGGGAACCAGAATAGATATCCTCTTTACACACACACAAACACACACCTACGAATACTGTATAGAGATTAGTGCTATAGAAATGGGGAGATAGAGAAGTTAACATTAGAGAAATATGTAGGTATAATGATTCAATAATTTGGAAGTATAGTTTGTAGTTGTAGAAGAGAAGTATCTTGATAGAAAGTAGATTGAGTAAAAGGAATCTAGAACTAAAACCATTGGTTTAAGAAGACAGGAGCTGGATTAATAAATGCAAGAAAAAAGGCTCAAGAGTGTTGGTGAAGTCAAATCAGAATGTAAAAAGAGATGAGACTTACAAGATATGTAAATTTGAGATTAGAACAAAATCAGGACTAACTCCTTGGCTTAGCAAATACACAAGAGCAGCAAATATGATCAAAGGAGAAGGTTGAAGATTGCTGGAGAATCCTGATGCTTATTTAATTTGCAAATGAGGAAAATAGCTTTATCACCATACAGCTATCTCTGTCATTTAAGCATCTCAAACCAGCATAGACAGTTTGAAAGATTTATCCCCATAATCTCTCTCATGTTCATTCTCAAATAATATAATCTGGGTATTTGCTTTTTGGAATATCCTACCCTTCCCTACAGTCAATCAAGTAATTACTCACAGGTCTGAGCTCTGGACCAAAATCAAATCAGGACACCACTTGCTGTGATTTCCCAATGGTTTATTTCACTGAAATCTCAGCACACAGTGAGTTCAGTTCAAAAGGAAAAAAGTTAGTGCCTGCCAGTGCCCCACCTCTGCTGGAGTAGCTGAACATCTGGCAGACCCAATCAGCTATTTGTCGGCCAACCCACAAGCAGCCATGATCAACTGTTTGTTGGCTGACCCACAGGCAGCCTCAATCATCTGTTTGTCAGCCAACCTTCAGGCAGCCATGATCAGCTGTTTGTTGGCCAACTCACAGGAAGCCTCAATCAAGCTGTTTGTCAGCCAACCTGCAGGCAGCCTTGAACAGCTGATCATTGGCTGGCTTGTAGGCACACAGGATCAGCTGTTCATCAGTTCTACTCTGGTTCCACTTGCTGCTCGCCACTCATAGCTGAAGGTCCAAAAATCCAATGCTTCATTTAGCCACCACCACCTTCTGTGCCTCTTCTCCCCAGGTATGGCAACCCTGAGACAGCATTTGTCATCCTTTCTGTTTTGGGGCTTGACAGAGGAAATGAAAGGGGACCATTAGTGGAACCTTGAAGCAGAATTCTCACCTGCCATGGCTGTACAATCTGGGCTGACTGATGGTCTTTAAACAACATCCTCCTCTTACTGAATTGGGAGGAAGAAACAGCATTGAGGACCAAGGCCACAGCTTGGATTGCTTTGAAAATACCAGAGCCATCCTCAGACAGAATTCTTGCAACCACATGATTGGGTGGGAATTCCCAGTTCTCTTTTTCTGTGCATCTTTCCCAAACCTTTTTAGACCACACAGGCCTTGAATGGGAACACTGGAATGCCTCCATGCCAAACTGTGTGGCAATATGTGAAAATGAATTAAAAATATAATATTGTGTCCTCGTCTTTGTCTGGGTGAGGAAGGAAAACAAAGCATGTTTACGTTGGAGATCAACAGAGTAGTAAAATATTCTTAAACTTATATCTGACAAAGTTGCTGCAATCCACACTTTTCCCTTAGTGAATTCATTAGTTGAATCAGTGTATTGTATTAGGCTTGATAGTGTTGCTGTGGCCGGATAATCCAGTTGACAGATTATAATTTTGACTTGACTACTGAAAACAGAAAGAAGACCTTCCGTTCTTTTTCCTTTAAGACTTCTATCCATGTTCATCGTTGGAATGATCTCTGAGAAGACAATGCATATCTCATTTTTTACAGCTAGATTTGTCAAGCTTCTTCTAAAATTTTCCCCTTTTTCATTTTCTTGAGAAACGAGACCGATCCACGTCCATTGGAAATGCAGGAGCAGCTTGATAATTGCAGAGAAAGGAGGTTCTTGTTTTGGGGTCAACCGATACAAAAAAGGGAAACGATGGTTTTGTTCAGGAGTATGGCTGATGATGCCATAGTTGATCTGAGATGGAAGAAAAAACACTGGTAGTTTGTGTCACATTTAATGATAAAAGTCAGTGTCTTAAATCTAAGAGTTTAAATCTAAGAGCAACGTAGTATACAAAATCCATCATAACGATTGTAAACATTTCTACATGGGACAAAGAGCAAGGCAACTGAAAACAAGGGTTTATGAACATCAACTAGTGGTTAAATGGCACGACCAAAAATTCCTGACCTCAAACCACATTGATAATAAACAACATCAATTAGATTGGGAAGGAATAAAAATCATTGGCCATGCCAGCATCTGCCATGCACGTGAATTTATTGAAGCCTGGGGAGGTTTTTTTTTGCCTGCTTGTCCCTTTATTTTATTTATTTATTTGTTTGCTTGTCAAACATGTACAAGATAACAAGTATAAGTATGAACCTAAGCAAGAACAAAGGGAATAAATATGCATGCCCCCTTTAAGGATCTCTTAGGAATGGGGTGAGGTCCATGGTAGTCAGTTTGAGATTGAAGCTGTGATTGGTTGAGGCTGTAGCAATGGAGTTGGGTAGGGCATTCCAGGCATTGACCACTCTGTCACTGAAGTCGTATTTTCTGCAATTGAGTTTGGAGCGTTTTACCTTGAGTTTGTATTCGTTGTTTGCCCGTGTATTATTGTGATTGAAGCTGAAGAAGTTGTTGACAGGTAAGATGTTGTAATAGACAATTTTGTGTATTATGCTTAGATTGGACTGCAGGCGGCATAGTTCTAGATTGTCCAGGCCCAAAATTTTGAGCCTGGAGGCATAGGGAATTCTATTGTGAGTGGAGCAGCGGAGTACTTTTCTCGAGAAATACCTCTGAACCCACTCAATTGTGTTAATGTCAAATATATAGTGCGGGTTCCAGGTTAACAAGCTGTATTCGATAATTGGTCTGGCAAAGGTTTGTATGACCTAGTTAATAATTCAATGATGCCAGAGAAGAAGCTTCACAGAATAAGGTTCTGAATGCCTTTTTGGCAATGCTGTTACAGTGAGATTTGGGGTTTAGATAATTTGAGATCTAAGGTCCTTGACAGAGTGAGGGTCATCTACAAGATTGTTTCCTCCTAACTTGTATTTGGTGTTCTGATTTTATTTTTTTTGCCAATTTGTAGGACAGAGCATTTGTTCTACTAAATAAATTTATACCAAAAGAGCAATTAATAAGCATATTGATCTAGAGATCCAGCATATGAATACATAAGAAACCAGACCATTTGAATGACCAATCAACAAGAGAACCAGTCAACTGCTCAGAATTTAAATATAGCTCCAAATGAACAACCAGTCACAGAACCAACTGACCAACCTGGTACACAAGACATTTATAAGCTAAGAAGAATAGGACAAGAAAATCCTACTGATAATGTTACATAGTCTGGTAATGAAATGTTCAGAAACTAAATGGAAACAAGCTTGGAGAGCAAACAACTTCCAAAATCTAAAACCAGAGCTAACAAGTATTTTCTATTATCTCTAAGAGCTTTTCTCCACTGTCGAGAGAAGTTTACTGAAAACAATTTCAGGCTAGCTCCAGTTCTGAAGAAGCTTCTTGGATGAGAAGTGAAATGTCTTCAAGGAGAAAAAACAAAGTCCAGTTGTCTTTTGAAAAAGCACCTTTGGGACAAATATGACCTAGAAGACTGAGATTCTCCATAGAAATTTCAGACTAGGATGCTCTAATCTGTAGGTGGTTCTCATGGGTGATCTTCATGCAATATACCCTTCTGGTCAAAACCTACCCATGTAGGGTGAGTGAACAGATGCAGTAGGTTACTTTAGCTGCCAACAACTGAGGTTCACACAAGCCCTACACAATCTGTGCATCAACCACATAGCAAATCAGACTCATCACATGATCCAGGACAGAAAGGAACATCTCCATACATTGGAATACAAAACTCTCCTGAGAGACAAACACAAACACATACACAGATCCACCATTCAAAGTTCAACCAATGCCTACATCCAACACTCAGTTTCTTAGAAACTTTGTTTAAACTTCAAAGCCAGTCCATGTGATTTTATTCATAGCACTTGTTTTCTTTCCCTGAACTGACAAACATATTTATTTATCCATATATTAAATTATTGTATTTTATTCCAATTTCATTTTAAGTTGCATATTATTCCAATTTCATTTTAATTTGTTTTTTTCTGGATTTTAGTAATAATTAGTGTTTGGAAGTCTGCACTTTGATATGGCCGATGGGTTAATCAATAAAGTAAACCAACTACATACTGTTATCCTTTTTTGAAAGAAAGATTCTTCAGTGGCAAAAATAAAGACATCACGAAGCTTAAGTTTTGTGTTTTCAAGCCATTTTATGGCAGGTAGATAAAATTAGAAAAAAATTAATAATAGTCAATAAGCAATCAAATCATACTAGGAAACAGTCAATATAAATCATGAGGATACAAGCAACAAAGTTACAGTCCTACAGTCACAAGTGGGAGAGGATGGGTGATAAGGAATGATGAGTAGATTGATAGTAATAGTAGTGCAGACTTTGTAAAGAAATATCTATGTAAGTTATGGGTAGAAAATTCATTCTGGTCTTCTAATATCTACTTGGTCTCTTAAGATTTATTTTGAGATTAAGAATTTACAATAAGGAATTAAGTTTGCTTTAACTTCATACCTGTGGAATTTTGTAGATGCCCAAAACAGTACAAATATGACCAAAGATTTCAGAATCTGTCTCTTCAAGGACTGCCAGCAGGTTCTTTTGTCTTCCACATCTGTAGTTTGGGATATTCTCCTGTCCTGTAGACAGCAAGTCCATCATGGCCTCATATGTCATTCTTGCAGTGAAGAAGTTCTGATAGATGTTGTACCCCAGAGTGATGTTGGGTAACACCTTTGGGCTCTGGTTGATCTCATGAACAGATAAGAAGAAGGGCAGGATATGGTAGAAGCTTGTATCCATACTGCAACATAACAGATATCATATCATCCACCTGAATTTTCTTCTTCAGTTCAATAAAGTCATATTCACTGTGGATTTATATTTCTATATTGCAATGCATAAAATATGATCAGATGCTCATTGTTAAAAAAAATCACTTTATTGGTTTTAAAGTAGCAACAAAATATAAATGAAAAAATACACAGATAATATATATATATATATCAACAAAGTAAAAAAAAACACACATAAGTGCTTTATAAAAATGTGAAAAAGAGAACACACACACACACACACACACACAGTGTCTGTATTTGTTTTTTTACGATATTCTTTTTATTGAAACCAAATGTAAAGTGGAAGGCACAAAATTGGAAAAGGCATTGGGTGGAACAAAAGGTTGGAAAGAAAGCAGGGAAGGATTGAATGTAACATAGAGAAGGAGAGGAGATAGTGAGAAGTAAGATCAAGAGTTTCCTGCTGCTCAAGAGTCTTTGCAAGGCAAGGTAATGATTTTGAGAACAGGTAGAATCTATTACCCTCTTACACTGGTCCTGTTTGGAGACTGACCCTTGTAGAAGTAAATTTTTATGGTCAGCTTTCATGTGTCTTAGGAGATTCTTTCCCTAACGCACATTGGAAGAAACAATAATGACCTGCCTTTCTCCAATTGAAGAATTGTTAAAAAGACATCATTTCTACAAAATGACATTGAAGCAGGTAAGATTAACCCCCCAAGAAATCTGTACACTCTGATAATTACCTTTCCAATCTATAGGGAGGAGGCTTGGAAAAATCATATGGGTAAAGATGTGAAAATATTATTGATGTTATTGCAGTAATCATGTAATCTCCTGGCTTATAGTAATTAAACTCCTTCTTTTCTTCTATTATTGCATTGAATGGACATTTCATCAGCATCGTGGCATAGAGAATTTATAAGAGAAGCAGAAGCAGAAAGAGATGTATTTCCAGCATCAACATACATTAATGCAGTGTCTTCCTATAGTTTCTTTTTTTATTGGATCTCAGAGCTCACAAAAGAAGATAATTGCATGGGAGATGATCCAGCCTGGGTTTGGAGAAGGAATCTGAAATGTCAGACTGACATAGACCCTGTCTAATTCTACCCCTTTCTTTGCTTTGATCTGAAGAGGATGTAATGTCAGGTCACATTTTCAGTTGTTGTATATTCCATTTCTTTATAACTTGCTTTATAACTAAAGGTGATGGTGGAAATCCCATAAACCTTGTTCAATGTAGAATAAATAATTGTGTTTTAAATAATTAGAAGGGGAATTGGGAATGACTGTCGCAACAGTGGTGTGCATTTGCATGACTCAAGGGCATACCTCCAGTTTAAGAGTCAGAAAGCAAACAATTCAAGGACGTTTAATTGCCTTTTACACTAGAAACTTATTTTTGAGATTCTAGAGAGTGTGATTTGCTAAAACAACTGAATTTTTTTTTTACTAGGCAGTGGAGAGATAATAATTCCTTCTTATTCTGACTGGTGCGCATGAACCCATTCTTCTCATGAAGGCAAGATATTACAGATACCCCCAGATCATGGTCCATTGAACAAACCATCAGAGGCCCCTGTTAAAAGTCTTCTTCTGTAGTTTCTAAATATGGAAGACTATCAGCCTTCATCGTTAGAGATAAGATCTGAGAAAAATATCCTGGGTGAAGTTATAATGCTTTGGATTTTAATTTGTATTTTGCTAAAATTTTATTGTTTTTCCTTTAATGCATTAATCTGCAAAATGCCCTGTTACTCGTAATTTGTAGAAGATTTAGGAACTCATTATTGTAAATCTATACCCTTAATAAAGAAGTAATTGTTCTGTTTCAGTGTTATCTTCTGTCCCACTCTGTTATAAAAAGGAATCAGCAAGAAAAGCTTGAACAAAGCTTTGAATCTGCTTGAATACAGCAGATCCTTGGAAGTCCAAGCCTTCAGTTGCTGCTGCTGAATGCCAGGTCATTCAACCACAGGGCCTCTCCTCATTTGTGACCTTATTGGGGAGGAACAAGCAACTGATTTGCATCACTGAGTTGTGCCTAATCCAGGGTGGGGTGTTCTTCTCTCGGAGATGTGTCCAACTGGTGTAGAATTTGGAACCAGCCAAGGCCTCAAGGCAGGGGAAAGGTTTTATATCAGTGTCCTCCTGATATACAGCTAGCCCAAGGATGATTTAAAGGGCTATTCATTGATTGCATTCACACAGCTGCTTTGCTTTTCCCTCTAGCTATTCCTAGAGGGGATGTCCACATGCCCACAACTGCTATTGCATTTCCATCCACCCCTCAGATAGTCCAAGGATGACTTGAAACAGTTTGAAAGAGCTGTTTTCCCTCTTATCTCATGTCTAGAAATTGCTAAGTGTCAACATTCCAACTAACAAACTCCAAACCAATATAGACTCTGAGACAGGCATTTTGTCAAAATTCCATTTTATTAGAATAGTCATACTGGCACATTTGGGAAAAACTGAATCTGAGAGTTCTGGATTTTCCCTTCGTAATTTAAAATCCAAAACCCATCCCCTGCACCCATCAGTCCATCACATGGTCCAATCACCAGCCATCCTAACTGAAGACAACCCTCCAATCACTCCTTTCCCAAGTGCAGGATGGCTTGTCCTTGACTCAGAAGAAGAATGTTGGTTGTTATGTCTAAACTTCTACCTCTATGTAAGATTCCCCACTTCCAAAATTCCCAGGCACTAGAATGTGGCAGTGTGGAAGTTTCTAAGAAAAATATGCCTTCCAAAGCTGACACTAAGTACAATGAATTGATGGACATGGGGAGATAACACAAAATCATGTGTTCCATGCCATCCACTGATAGATTCAATTGGTTTTGCTGGTATCCTGTAGGACCATCCATTTTATCTAGTTCTTTCCCCTCATTTCTCTAATTTTGATGTGGATCAGAACCCCAATTTCCAGACCCACAGCCATTCACTTATTCTCCAATTATTGCACAGGACCAAGTTAAGAACATGGCAGTAGTATTACATTCCTTGTAATTATAAAAATCGCAATTATGTGGTTTTTTTTCCCCATTGGTGAAGCTCTGGGAATAGTGTCAATATTTATCTTTAAATGTATAGTGTTAAAATTTGCAGCAAGTGAAGCATGAAAATACTGATAGCAAAGGATAAAAAACCCTGAAGCTCAAAATGGGATACCAAGATCATGGGCTGAGATTTCAAGCAGGGACTATGCTAGGAAAAAGTGTCATTTTTGCACTGAAGCCACAGCTGGACTGCCTCTGTATTAAGGAAACCATGACAATCTCTTCTAGGCTGATTTCCCATCACGACAGCAGCATTTAGCTTCAAACAACAACAACAACAAACATAACCATTTTTCAGTAAAGTTTTCAGATGGGATATATTCAGTTTAGTGGATATATTCATTAAACAGGTGAGAGGCATTCTGACAAAATGGCTGCCTCAAGGGCTATAGACAATCTCAAGACCCCATTTTACAAAAATAACAACAACCCCACACTTAGAAGGTTGCACTACATCACTTGTGTCCACTCTTACTCTAATTCAAGTGTTCTTCACCATCTTGGCTTTCTTCCCCTTCTTCTAAGTGAGAGACTCTAGGGCACTGGGCTTTCAGAATATGAAAATGATTATGTTGAAACTTCTTCTGTGATCTAAATAGAGCTCAGAGACATTGGTAAAATACCAAATAATAAATTGATGATTATGTCTATAAATTCAATGGTGAAGATCTTGGGTGAGAAAAAAAATGGTGGGAAGTGACTTGCCAGCTTCCTTGGTGACTTCCCTGTTGAATTTGCTTGTGGGAAGCCAGAAAAAAAGCTGCAAATGGTGATAATGTGACATAAGTGAGAGTCAGTTGCCAAGTGCTCAGATAATGGACATGTCACTGGGACAACCATAACTTTGAGGGCTAGTCATAAGTATCACTTACTCAGCAATGTCCTGTTTTTGAATAGTTACTGTATAAGTATCATTCTCCAAAAACTACCTGTAATTAGATATTATAACTCAGATCTAACATGGATGAATATTGTTTCGAACACCTAAAAAGAAGAATAATTACAAGGCATATTATTTTATAATACCAGTAAGTTGCACAAAAATAATTTCTAAAATCCGGAACCTCCTAGTTTTTCACCATTAGATGTTCCTTAGTGTTCATGTCAGGTCTCAGGATAATAATGAAGCATTTGGCGGTAAAGATGCAGCCCAGTAAGCCCAGATTGGAGGCCAGGATGGAGAATATTTGCATAGCCACCATGTATTTCCCTTTGGTGCTCAGGTAGGAGGGGACAAAGGAAATCCAAACAGCGCAGAACCAGCATGCTGAAAGTGATCCACTTGGCTTCATTGAAGGTTCCTGGAAGCTTTCTGGCTAGGAAAGCCAAGAGGAAGCAGATGGCAGCCAGAAAGCCCATGTAGCCAGGGCCAGTGTAGAACATGGTGACTGAGCCTCCATTACATTGCAATACAATGTGTCCTGGTTGAGAATATAGGTCAGAATCTGGGAATGGGGAGAAATTTTCAGCCATATCAAACAGATGCCCACCTGAACCCTAGAACAGGACAAGACAATGGAGGTGGCCAAACTCTTTCCTAGCCATTTCTTCATCCTGCTGCCTGGCTTTGTGGCCAGAAATGCCACCACCACCATGACAGTCTTGGCCAGTAAGGAAGGCACAGCAATTGAGAAAACAATGCTGAACGTGGTTTGTTGAAGAAGACAAGTCACTGTGTTGGAACACCCAATGAATAGAAGTGAAGTCAAGAAGGAAAGTAGGAGGACAATCAGAAGAACATATGTGAGGTCCTGATTATTGGCTTTCACTATGGGTGTTTCTTGGTATTTAATGAAAATTCCCAGAAAAAAGGCAGTAGTTATGGATAAGGCAAAGGCAAAGAGAACCAGGATGAGACCCAAGTTTTCTTTATAGGACAGGTAAGTTATAACCTTGGGGATAATACACTGATCTCACTTCTTATTGGAATGCTGAT